GTAGATTATATTGATGCCAGAAATGTAAAAAATTTTTGGGTCTTCGGCTGTTTTGACGAATAATAGATTTTTTCAAATTTGTCATGTATAAATAAAGAGGGGTCAAAAACGGAGGGTTCCGGACTTGGTTTGGGGAAACGGCTAGCAGGGAGTGATAAGGTAGATTATATTGATGCCAGAAATGTAAAAAAATTTTGGGTCTTCGGCTGTTTTGACGAATAATAGATTTTTTCAAATTTGTCATGTATAAATAAAGAGGGGTCAAAAACGGAGGGTTCCGGACTTGGTTTGGGGAAACGGCTAGCAGGGAGTGATAAGGTAGATTATATTGATGCCAGAAATGTAAAAAAAATTTGGGTCTTCGTCTGTTTTGACGAATAATAGATTTTTTCAAACTTGTCATGTATAAATAAAGAGGGGTCAAAAACGGAGGGTTCCGGACTTGGTTTGAGGAAGCGGCTAGTAGGGAGTGATAAAGTGGATTATACTGATGCCAGAAATGTAAAAAAATGTTGGGTCTTCGGCTGTTTTGACGAATAATAGATTTTTTCAAATTTGTCATGTATAAATAAAGAGGGGTCAAAAACGGAGGGTTCCGGACTTGGTTTGGGGAAACGGCTAGTAGGGAGTGATAAGTTAGATTATATTGATGCCAGAAATGTAAAAAAATGTTGGGACTTCGGCTGTTTTGACGAATAATAGATTTTTTCAAATTTGTCATGTATAAATAAAGAGGGGTCAAAAACGGAGGGTTCCGGACTTGGTTTGGGGAAACGGCTAGTAGGGAGTGATAAGTTAGATTATATTGATGCCAGAAATGTAAAAAAATTTGGGTCTTCGGCTGTTTTGACGAATAATAGATTTTTTCAAATTTGTCATGTATAAATAAAGAGGGGTCAAAAATGGAGGGTTCCGGACTTGGTTTGGGGAAACGGCTGATATGGTGTGATTGACTAGATCATATTCATGCGAGAAGTGTTCAAAACTTTTTGGTCTTGGGCGGTTTTGAAAAGCTATAGATGATTATATAGCTTCTAAAATATTAGGTTTTAAAGGGGGGTCAATTTGCGGTATCTGTGAACGAGATAGCACGGATTTGAACTTAGCGTAAGTAAAATATGCTTTTTCTAATCAATTGACGTGAAAACCGCATTTCTCCAGGTTTATTTTAATGTAATATCAATTTTTTCGCGTTTCTCCTCACTTTGAGGAAGATTTTGGAGGAGGGAGATAAAACTCTTACAGTACATAGAAAGCCCATAATACAATCGAACTACGTGAAAACCGCATCGATTTGTGTTTATTTGGACCCAAATTACGTCAGTAGAAGTGGTAATGGCAAATTTTCGTCACGGCTGCCTTTTTACCGTTTCGATCAGAGCGTGATCGATCGGAACTTCAGCCGCAAATAAAGATGCATAAAGATCTCATCTCTTTTAACTTTCAAGACTGCGTAATCGAAGCAAATATTATGAATTTTTGCTATTCGTTTAATGAAGCACAAGTGGGAGTGGAAAAAAAAGAAGTAGCTGCTATTCAGGAACGTGTGAATTTTTTTTAATTGAACTTTGTAACCAAATTCAATGCCTATTCCCATCCAATATTGACATTCTTAAAAAAATAACCTTTTTTACTCCGAAAAATGTCACAGCACAAGCTAGAAAATTTTACATAACAGATCTAGCTATCAACTTTTCAAGAACATAATCTGTGAAGATGTTGATTCTACCGTCAGCGAATGGAACGCTCTGCATCGAGTAGAATGGCAACATTTGAACGATGCCGAATCATTCTGGGTTAAGGTGGCCGAAAATATAAATACATTGGGTAAAAATAGCAAAACTGGTTTTAGCACTTCTTTCGCTACCATTCTCCAACGCCGCTGTAGAAAGAGCATTTTCAGTAGCGAATTTCATTAAAGACAAAGTAAGAAACAGACTGGCAATTTCTAGTGCAGATAGCGTAATGCGACTGCGATTCCACCTTATGAATATGAGTAACAGTTGCGCTACTTTTGTGCCAAGTAAAAAATGTTAAATCTAATGCTAGCATGTATGAGACTGCGCAAGAAAACGAAACTGTTTTAGACATGTTCACTACAATTAATGATTAATTTATATTTTTCTCAATTGTCTATTATCTATTTATATTTTTATTTATCTTATGAACAATACATTTTTCATTTGTTTTTAATCGTAAATATGTTTTTCATGTTCATTTACCTTTTAAAGATAAATAATATGGTTATTAAGTATTAGGACAATAATATTATGTAAAATTTAAATAAATAAATCACATGTATGTATTTATTTGTTTTCGCAAACGCAACCAAATTCTTTTATAGTATTTATCGATATAGGAAAAATATTTCAGTCATAATAATATTTTAAAATCCAATACCTACAAAATCGTAACCTAAGGTGAAAAATAGTGAATTTTTTAGAGATTTTTTCCTAAATTTAGGAGATTTTTAAATTTGAACTGGGGAAATTGAGATAAACGACCTGGCAACCCTGCCGAGTTTTATGTGTTTTGTGCTGAGCCAGCGCCACCTTCAACTAACTTCTGGAAGGAGTGTTCTATGATTTTTAAAATGACTAGTTGTTAAATACAAAGCAGTGAAAGTCTCATTTATACTGTTCCATTGCTCGAGCCAAATCAGAAATTTTCTCAGATATTGGCACCGGAAGTCATCTACACTAGAAACAGGCTTTGAAAATTCATTTAACTTACATACACCCTTAATGCAACTTTTATTATTCATAACATCCCACCAATTTCTGATGATATCTAAAAATCCTGCAGTTTCTGTGAAGCCAAAATCTTTAAGAGCTGCTATAGTTGAATGGTGGAATAAGTTATCTGCAAGATGTACCTTTTGTCTATCAAAATTATTTGGGTGTATTGTTTTTTCATTTAATTTGAAAGCTTTCTTAACTACGGAATGTTTTTCTAAATTATACACATTATTGACTTCATGAAACTTGGCATGCTGGGCTTCTCCAGTCTCAAAATGTGGGTAAACAAAAAATGTCTTGTCAAGGTTCTTTAGGTTGATCCAATTGTTACGGATATTTTTGAAAAGATGAACAAAATCAAACAACAAAAATATTTTGTTGTCTGGTGAAGATGGACTATGGAAGTATTCTGGAAAACCTGTATTTGGGTTTATATAACTGTTGGATGAACATTCTGACAATTTTTTAAACATAGCTCTATTTATCCTATGATTATCAGATATGATACATAAAACTTTAAAGCCTGATGTTTCAATAATATTAAGAATATTTTTGACAAGTGGTACTAACTGATCCCCAGTTAAATTGTGTACAGGCAACAATCTAACAATTTCAGAGACGTCACCAAAACGAGAAGCTACCATAAAAGCTAGTATAGTTTTTGCTACTTCATTAGCATTAGATGCATAGCCTACTATATTTTTTGACCTAAAATCCAATCTGGCGTTAATGTGAATTTCATCAATTAGCAGAATTACACAATTGTTTCTCTTTCCGATAGATTCAATCCCATATTTGCCAAATAATGTTGGTTGTTAGAGTCACTGTTGGGTGTGAGGTTCATACTTGAAGATATATGCTGCAAATACCTTTTGCTAGGCAGAATTAAAAAATCTTTGATTACATGGTAGGTAGCAGGAGACTGATTATAGAATATAAATGCCATAACAATTTTGAGTGAAGAATATCTATTTTTCTTATATTGAATTTGTTTGAGCTGGTCAATTAAAACTTCTAGATTTTTAAAATGAGGGAAAGGTACTGACACATGATTTATTACTCTAACAGCATGTTCTAGATTCTCAATCCCTTTGTGAATATGACTATAGGCTAAATTTATATTTTCTAGTGTTTCTGTATTATCAAAATAAAAACTATACCTACTCAGTAAGTTTTCTAATTGAGACCATCTAGAGAGCTTCAAGTCAAATGGGAGCACCCATTTCAAATCATTACATGAGGGGATCCGCCCCTTTATTAAATACCTTAGTTTCTAATGAACTGTCTATTATAATTTGCGTATTCAAAACTAAAATTTCACTGATTGTTTCTAATTTATAAAAATAAATTTTGTCATTAGTCTTCTTCACCAACCAATGTTCAGGGATTTTAATCATTTTAGAATAGTTTTCCAATAAATATGAGAATCCTGTAATTTTGTCTTTTTCCTGAAATTCTGAAACCAAATTCTCATGCCTTTGAAGGATCTTATCTTGTCTGATGGCAGGATCTGTTCTACTAGAAACTTGAGATAAGATGGCACATTTGGAAAGACTGATGGAACAGCACCTCCTGAAAGTTTTGGACGACTCAGTGTGACTGTGTTAGCTGATCCATCCTGCAGAACATAAGTTTCCGTACGGACAATTTCTGCTTGTTGAAAATGTGCATCACAAACAACAGAATCTTTAGAAGGCGACCAGTCCTTTCTTGGTATTGAAGCTAGCCACTTACTTTTAAACTCCCCATTTTTTGGAAATCGAAACACTGACCTGTAGGGTGTCGATCTCAATTCTGCCTCGTAGTTTCCCTTGCAGCCTGGTACACAGCAACGCTTAGGCATATTAATTAAAAGAAAAGATGTACCCACTCGAATCTACACACTATACAGACGTTTCTAACAAGCACCGATTCACACACATTTTAAACACATCAAAGCACGATTTTATACTACCTAAAATAAATACTTTCTGCACGGTTTGAAGAGCAAAACTAAGTAGATTACTCTGGTTTGTATGAATTGCACTGTTCCCAGAGATTTACAACAAAATTGCAATTGCACCAAAAAGTCGGAGGTTAGGAATATAAACAAACGAAAAGCCCGGCAAACACCTGTCTGTGGAAGACCCCAAAGCTGCGTTGCCATATCTACTGTTCATGGCTCGTTAGTTGAAGGTGGCGCTGAATGGGGAAATTGAGATAAACGACCTGGCAACCCTGCCGAGTCTAATGTGTTTTGTGCTGAGCACTGACATACTGATACTGACAATTGAATCCGTGCTGAATCCAACCTTAATTTGCGTATTTGCGATTTCTGGTCGAAGTTTTTTAATATCTCATGATATTCCAACTCCAACAATTATTAACAATTAAGAAATAACACTCTTCGAAGGTAAGGTAGAACATTTATCATTTTCATTCTACCGAGTTTCTCCAAATTTGGTTGACAATAACAAAATCAATAAAGCTTATAGTCTGATTGAACCAAAATATACTTATTTGGAAAATTACATTAATATAGGATATAACTTCTAATGTAAAGCCTGATAACTGAAACGTATCATCTGGTTTTCATGCTTGTTGAACCACTATGCTTTTTTGGTCATTAAATGCAACCAAAAATTTCAGTTCTTGGCGTTTACATGTTTGCGGATACTTTCGTGAATTGGGTCGGGAAATAGGGTTACAGTAGCCTGAAAATTTTATTCAGATACATTATAATTTAGGATATAAGAAAACATTAACTAACAGTTTCATCGGTAGTAGGTCTGTGTGAAAATGTACTAAAAAGTTAGAAAAATGTAGTTACCTTGTTTTTCTAGTAAGATCACGTGTAGGATTCAGTATGTACAGTGTGTGAAAATCAAAAAGATTGATTCTCGTTCCGAACATCGTGAGGCAGTTCAGTTAGAGATTAAAGTATTTGAAGTATCCATAAAGTTGCAGCTGCTGTCTTTGATAATGGAAGTTTCACAAGCCTGGTGTGGTTAAATACTAACATTTTACCCTATTACACGAGTATCCAACATGGTAGAATGAGCTGGTTATCTAGAAATATTTCAAAATTCTCCATATCGGCAAAGGACACATAATCTGATGGATCTGTCAATGCCAGGTAGACAGAGCCATATTTTTCAATATCGCCTTACCTTTCACCTGACATACGGACAACACATAATGCAAAAAAAAACGCACCTATTCACACCAGCCTAACAGTACCATTCAACATTTTTGCACAATTTATAACAACAAATATGTAGGTAAATTAAAAGACTTAATTCTGGCTCATTTCAATTTAAACCTGACAGGTAGCTCTAATGCAGCGCTCCAGGTAAACCAGGAGGACGACTTTTTGTAAATTACTTTCGAATTGAGGATAAATTTTCTCAGAATGCTAGATCAGTAAAACGAATAATGATGACATATGATAAACTAAGAAAAATCAGTTTGACAACACCTTTAAATATGCAAGCATCCCTACAAACAACATTATTAGCTAATATAAGTTAGCTCATTAAATCCCCATGACTTTTTATTCCTGGATTCTACCATGCCTTTCCTAGGAAACATTTTGGGTTTGTGAGAATGCACCTCTGTTGTATGGGTGTGACAAAAGTCTATACCTGTGTTGAGTCATCTGTTTGATTAACCTCCCCTCGCCATTTTAAATCTATTGACTATATAATTTGGAGTATAAGTTTAAAAAAGTTTGGCACTTGTCAGCCTATCAAGTAAGAGTAAAAATTGATTTAAGATCAACTAAACCTAACATATTCTGGGTCTTGTAGGGTAAGGTTTGATTTACAATTTAGGCACTTGACCTCAAAAATAATGATTTTCAAAACATTTATCATACATATTTCTTGGAGGTCGGGGATACCCTTGAATGTCAAAGTTTTTTCTCATATTTGAGTATGCACCTGTTAATCATTTTTTTTTGCTTCAGACAAAGTGTTAGAGAACATTCTTAACAACAAAGGTCTTAAGTAACTTTTCTGCAAAGTTGGCAATTATCAAGTTATATGTGGTCCATTGTCCGAGAATAAAATACATACATACAGTATTTTACGTTAAATTTATTATAAACCGATTTTTATCCTTGCTTGGTGGCTAACAGGAGTCGCACTTTTGATTTTTGCAGACAGTACTAACATTTTGGCCACCTTAGTAGCATTATTTATTTAAAATTTATAATTTACTAATGATACTTTAAACAAATTTCACTGACCAGTGTATTGTTTATAGCAGAATCTGGGTCAACATGATGGCTGCCAAGCCTACAAAAACCCCAGTGATGGTTGTACAAGAGCTAAGCGTAAAAAAGAACCTTCCTCCTCCGATATATGACCTCATAGTCAACAATATGGGTACACACCAAAATAGATTTGATTACCAAGTAACCCTTGATGGCATACAAGCGATAGGTACAGGCACGTCAAAGCAAATCAGTAAGCATAATGCTGCTCACAATTTGCTGATGAAGCTGAAGGAATTGAATAGGTACAATCCTGAGGAGGACCCAGTACAAGAATTTACTAGGGATGTAAAAAATGCCAAGGTCGCAGAGCATACTAGAGAAAATCTAGTACCTTCTTTGGGATTGAACTTTATAGGTGAGATAAGTAGGATATTAAAACAAGATAATGCGTATTTTGCTTTGAATTGAAGAAGAATGTGCTCAGAATCAGACCGTCATTTTTCTAGTAAAGTTAAAAAATATGAAAAGTAAGTTAGCAGTGTTGGTGCAGAACGAAAATGAATGATAGAAATCTTTTATAATAATATTTATTCCGACAGTTTTGCACACAATTACAGGAATAACAATAAAGAATACAGTAAGTCTGTCATACTATAACAAAAAATAGTTGCACAATATATATCAAAGTAACAGTGATAACTCAAACAAGAACATAAATAAAAAGCATAATTAAAATAGACATATTCCAGTAAGACAAAAAATGCAATAAAAAGGTTTCATTCTGCTCAGTATCATGCAATTTCTTTTAAAACTGCCTAAGACCACCTGTAAATTATCAAAGCTAATGTCACTTCCTTGACAATTCTTATCAAAACTATTACACATTGTCTGTATTGGAGACATGTATGCTATATTTTTTTGTTCTACTAGTTTGAGTGTATGAAGTCGGGTTGCAGCGTGTCATTTTTTAGGGCACTGAAAAATTAATTTTGACTAGTAAGTTTGGACAGTCTAATCCATTATTGACTGTATTGACAGTGTATTATTCTTAGTATGACGACAGTGAGCTAGAGTGGCAAAATTCATCCTTTCCTTTCAAGTAGTATGGCAATGCATTCTGATAGAATGAAGATCAAATAATTGCTCCATACTTCAGCTCGCTTCTTATAAAAAATGTATCCAGTGCTCACACTTCTCATGTTAATAATAATAATAATCTTTATTGATCATAGAAAAAATACACAAGTTTTCATAGACATGTCAGTATTGAAAAAAGAAAAGTGCAGTATCGCAGACATGAAAGTACTCTAACTAAAATAAACTCAATATACAAAAAGTCACTAATATGATTTTACAAACTCGAGCAAAATATAAAGAACATTATTGAATTATCCATTCAATTTAGTCAAGAAGGCCTGCCTGTCTCTTGCCAAAGCATAATATGCCTCAAAACTGTAAATACAGGCACTAGTTAATACAGATTTCAATTTACATTTAAATCTGCTCAGCTGAAGCGATCTCACCTCATCTGGCAACGCATTGTACAATTTGATTTCTTCACTGTTGGTTCTAGCCAATATGTTTGTTGGAAGTACCAGATTATTGCAATGTCTTGTGTTGTATGAGTGAAAATCACAACACTTAAAAAAGTCTATAATGTTTTTTATGACATATGTTAATTTTTCATAGATAATCAGATCATACAGAGTTATTATATTCAATGATCTAAAGCAAGGCCTACACGATTCATGTTGCTTTAAACTAGCAATGCACCTTATTGCAGATTTCTGAACTTTAAACACTTTTTCAATATGTATATTAGCTGCAGAGCTCCAAACTTAAAGTCCATAACGTAGAATAGAATCAAAAAGAGAATAATAAGCTGTAAGTGCACCTATTTAATTGATGGTATATTTTATTTGCCGAATAGCATAAATTGCCCTGTTTAATTTATTACATAAAATATTTACATGGTCATTATACAACAGACTCAGACTTAGTGTCCAGCACAACACCCAGAAATTTAGTTTTAGTCGTTTCTCCAACCGTACTGACAGGTTTAGTTTCAAAACAAAGAGTTTCAGTTTTTACTTCATTCAGAACAAGCTGGTTTGTGACAAACCAGGACGCTCGGCGTCCACGCCCCTCTCTACAGCAATTCCAAATGTTGCATCATCGGCATACAGTATGATCTCTTACCATGTTCGTTTTTGAATGCTTGCGGCAAATCATTCACATATATGAGAAAGAGCAGTGGACCCAACACGGAACCCTGAGGCACACAGGTCTCTGCAAGCATAGGTTCACTAGCTCGATTATTACAGCAAACAACCTGGCATCTGTCTGAGAGATAGGATCGCATCAGCTTTAAAGCAGTTCCCCTAACGCCATAAAATTGTAGTTTTTCTAATAAAATATTTCTATTCGCACAATCGAAAGCGGCAGTCAGATCAGTAAATAGTCCTAAAAACTTGTTTTTATTTTCAAATGCCTGCCTTATACAATTTACTAAAGTTAGTATGGCATCTGTTGTTTTGTTTTTCCTAAAGCCAAACTGCCTGGGAATAATGATTTTATTTTTATCAAAAAATGAGACAAGTTGATCAAAAATAACCGTTTCTAATAGCTTCGAAACCACAGGCAGAATGGATATTGGTCTAAAGATACAAACCTAGACCAATTTCTGACACAATAACTCAAAACATTGTTTACTAACACGATTATTTCAATTATATGCTCAGAAAATGTAAGCTTACTATCAAAAATCACCCCAAGATCCTAGAGAGACTGACATCTAACTATAGCTATGTCAATCTGATAGTTGAACAGTATTGAATTGATTTTGCGAGAAACGTTTTACATTTTCTAAGCTTGAAATCAAGTTTATTGATCACACACAAATAGGTAGCCACTGCTTGGGGACGCAACAATCTTGTCAATAGCGGCAGCTGCTGGAAGAACTCTAGGCTATTTGTTTAGGGCTAAGAAGTACTTTTCCCTGCATGACCTCACTCTATACAGGGCCGAGAAATGGCCTAGAGCTCTCTTCCATGATGCCGCCGCGCGATGTGCCTGGCAGACAGACCCGCCTGACTGTGGCGTCCCAACTTCGTACATCCAGAACTGGCCGATACGACCACTACTTTGTCCCGAGGGTGTCGAGATTGTGGAGCAATCTACAAGAGGAAGCTTTACCCAGTTCTGCTAACCTTCAAAAATCGAATTAACAAAATTTCTTTGGAATCCTCAGAATAGCCGCGGTGTCCCGGCATTTAGGCTTCTGCCTGCGCGGCTGCTTCGCTATACAAACAAATATAAACCTAGGCAACCCTAGATATGTGGTTATCCTGCTTTCGCGAGAACTGTTTTTTTAGTATCGCAGCCAAGACCAAGCGGAAAATGAATTGAAGAAGAAAATAGTATCAGACCTTTTGGACGATTCTGACCTTGAGGTAGTCGCAGCAGGTATTATCGAAGTAGATAAATATTTTCATGAAACGCTTTAACCCCTGAAGTCTTGTCAGGAACGAGCAAAATCTATCCCAGATTAATTAAGATGGTTAAAAAAAATTGTTATCTGCCATCTGTGCCCTGCGAGCGGCTATTTTCGCAAGCTGAGCAAGCATTATTGTCAGCAGAAATAGACTAGAATCTGATAAAGTTAAAAAAAATAATGTTTTTAAATGGAAATTTCTGGTTAGTTTACATTTTTGTTTTAGTATAGTTTCAATTTTCAATTTCTTCATGAGTCGCAATGGGTGATCTTTTTTCATAAAGGTTGGCTAATTTTCAATTATTTAGCACGAATATATAACAGCATATGTCTTTTTCATAACTTCCAGGCAACAAGTTATACAAACCTCTGCTTACGATTGTGTTCCGTCTCCTATATCGTTCTTGTCCGTCTCTAATACCAGTCTTTAGTAGTAAACGAGTGAAATATACTAAGTGACATATAAATCCGAACACCCAGTTTAAATGGTTTTATTTTAATAAAAGTTGGTGAATGTATTTATCTTACTGTAAATAACAAGTGAAAAATTTTCAGCCTTATCTGTTGGACATTCCGGTTTTTATACTGCTTTTTTTTAATTCACTAACGCTCTAAAAATGAATATTTCAGCCGCAGTAAAGAATCAACGTTGGTGGATTTTGGTTCTTGACATCCTTTACGATCGGTTACGATGCCTAGAGTACGGAGACCTGTACGATTTCGTCAACTTAGTGAGTTTGATAGGATCCGTATAGTGGGACTTCGGGAAGCTGGACTTTCTTTTCGGGCAATTGCAGTTAGAGTGCAAAGAAGTGTAGACACTGTGGTTAGGTGTTGTCAGGCATGGCTTCGAGAAGGCCGTACGCAAAGAGCAAGGGGCACTGGACGCCGCCGTAGAACAACAGACCGTGAAGATCGCCGCCTAAGATTATTGGCCTTAAGGGACCGTTTCTCCACTACCAGGTCCATTGCAAATGAATGGTTTGCAGAACACGGAAGACCTATTGGCATGCGAAGTGTTTACCGACGAATGAGAAGTTTTGGCTTGTTTTCATACCGGCCACACTGGGTCCTCCCTTTTACTCGAGAACACCGACGTAATCGCCTTGAGTGGTGCAGACAACGGTCACTCTGGGATCAGGAATGGAACAGTATTGTCTTTAGTGACGAGTCTCGATTTTGTTTAGGCATGCACGGTGGTCGTGCCAGGGTTAGAAGGCGACGTGGTGAAAGGAGGAATCCACAGTTTTTTGTTGAAAGACATGTTCATCACACTGTTGGAGTTATGGTTTGGGGTGCTATAGCTTATGGTTCCAGGTCACCTTTAATCTTCATCAGAGGTAACATGGACGCGCAGCGTTATATCCACGAAGTTCTAGAACCCCATCTTTTACCCTATCTTGACACCCTGGCAGATCCAACTTTCCAACAAGATAATGCCCGACCACATGTTGCAAGAGTCACAATAGACTTCTTTCAACATAATGATGTCACATTGTTACCATGGCCACCAAGATCTCCCGACTTATCCCCAATTGAGCACGTGTGGGATATGATGGGTAGGAGATTGCTCAATTTGCAACGTCCTCGTCAGACTCTAGAAGCACTTCGAGAGGAGTTGGTGGTTGCCTGGAATGAGATACCACAGGAGGACATTGACCACCTGATCAGAAGCATGCCTAGGCGCGTTGGAGAATGCGTAGCACATCAGGGTGCATCCACACATTGTTAAAGGTCAAAGGGCTTTAAAGCAGTGCAATCATTTTGAAATTTTTATCATTTACTTATTATGCTTCATTAAGTACTTATACAAAATTTTATCAAAATAAAACCATTTAAACTGGGTGTTCGGATTTATATGTCACTTAGTATAGTTTTTCAATGAATGATTAACTACTTCACTTCAATCATAAAAATCCTTC